ATAAAATATAATGAAAAAATTGATGATGGGTAACTCAAATGAAAGATCATTGGATGAGTGTAACAAGTCAGGGAATGAGCTTATGGAATCGTTTAAAAAATGTCAAATAGTTCACAAGATACAAGGTCATTTCTTAATTATTGACTTAATTATTGACTTAAGCTCATCCCGATGTTACACTCTTCGAGACCTTTCATTTGAGTACCCACAAGGCAATTTTTATATATTTTATATATATGGTATTTGTGAAATATATAAATATATAAAATATATGAAAAATTGATGTGGGTACTCAGATGAAAGGTTTCGATGAGTATAATATTGGGATGAGCTTATATCATTAAAAATGTCAATATTTCACAAGATAAAAGGTCATTTCTTAATTATGTATCTAGAGATAGAGCATTTTCGAATGCAGTCTAAATACTTGTCATAATAAATTGACTATGAGTGAGAATGATATGAAACTTTGAAAAGGCACAAATTCAAGTCAAGGCCTTTGCAATGACACTAAATTTCACTAAAAAAACCGATTTTATCATATGACTATCTTGGAAAAAAAAATTTTCTTATTCTTCTAATAATATAGATTAATTGCGTGAAGGAATGCAATGTATTTCTCACTAAATATGTCAAAAAACAATAGGATATCTCATTAATAAAAAAAATTAATGATAACTTGAATTAATAATGATATCAGTAAACAAATTTTGTTTGTTCTACAAAAAAGAATAATTTTTTTTTATAATTTATAAAGATTATCGATGTTGATAAATAAAAAAAATTAATTCTGAATTTTATTATAAGTATTCTAAATTTTTTTGTAATTAATTTCATTAAAGAGATTAATAAGATCTAGATAAAAATACTGTATTGTTTGTAATATGTAAGACAGTTTTTTAATTATAATATAATTGCTCAATAAAATCTTAAGATTCTTTTATACTAACTAAAACAAAATTAACTTGAGATAAGAAAAAAAATTTTTAAACCAAAAAAATAATTTATTGGTTAAAGAGTTTTTCTATTCTAATTAGAATAAAAAAAATTTTTTTTTGCATAGAAAATTCGAAGTGACTAAATATCAAAAGCAATTAATTAGACGGAAAAAATAAATTTTTTTGACGGGAAAAAATATTTAGAGAAATGAAAATTGTCTTGGTTGAATTAAAAAAATTTTTTACAGTAAAATTTCTTCTTTTTTTAAAAAATTTTAGTTTGAAAAAATTTTCATAGTTTTTATACGTAAAGTTTTCGAAACTATTCTACTTATTATCGCTTAAACCTTCCATGTCCTCAATTATTTCTATTCAAGTAAATAAATAATTAAAGGAACGTTTATAATAAAATGGGAGATCGTTATTCACGGCCTCAAGATTATTTCTCGTGCAACATCCGATGTATATAAATATATAGATATATCGACGTAGATGTTTATATATATATATATATATATATATATGTATATGAACGTATAAGGTAAATAAGTTTCCGTTGTAGTTGGTGGAATCCGGTCATCGATACGATGGAGTATGGAGTAAGTGAAAGTAAAAGGAGCAAATGGGTTCTACGTGTGTACACAAACAACCGGCATGCACGTTCACATAACACATGTAATGTATTTGTGTACGCGTGCTCTTCGTGATAAGGAGGATAGGATAGGTTAAGGAGGTAAGGATACAAGTAAAGAAGGCACACGTAACGACGTGTCTAAACAAGCGGCGGTCGAGATTTTAAATCGATAGTCATGCATCAGGTAACTCTGGAATGATGATACAATGTTCCCTTATAACGTTTTTATTACATCCCAGAAAACAGAAAACAGAAAATCCGATTGCGTTACTTTATTTTTAAATTTAAATTATTTAGTGCCATGCTCTTAAATTGCTTACTTTAATTACTTTTTATTACTTCCATCGTCCGACGTAATTTGTTATTTACAACCCGTAATTCGAGGCTTTAGTTATTGGTATTAAATATTATTGTAATCACAGTGTTGAGAAATGGCAATGTGAGAAATTTTAAATAATAGTTGTTCTCATTCTTGTATAAAATTCTTTGTACGCAATTTAAAAATTTTTTCAAATTGTTAAATAATGATTAAAAAAATATTTAAAAAATTTGCACATCTAGTTTTGTTAACTTTCTATAGGTGCAATTTTTTTTTTTTTTACTTATTTTCGTATTTTATTAATTATATAAAGAAAAAACATTTTAGAGAATCATCCATTTGTACGAAAAAAACAATTAGTTTAAAATTTATTATCACTTTAAAAAACTATTCAATACCATTAATATCTAATAAAGGTATAATATTTTCGTTTGGATCATTCAAATAATTCATAATTGGACTATTGCTAGATCAAAATGTTAAAAAATCACCCTCTAAAAAATGAGTTAGACCAATTGCTAATTAGACCGTCGAAATGTGTTTCAAATTTATAGCAATACTTTTTTCATTATTTATTCTAATATTTAAGCCTAATATTACACTGAAAAAAAAAATTAACTTGATTCAAAAGAAAAATTCTTGAATTAAAAATATAATTTTGAATAGATTAATTGTCTTGAATCAAGTAAAATTTCCTTAAATCAAGAATTTTTCTACTCAAATCAAGAATACTAAGTTCTTCAAAATTATATACTTGATTCAAAAACATTTTTTTTTCTGTGTACTATATTAATCGATTATACTCCGTTAAAGTTACATTAATTTTATGAATTTCCAAAATTTTTATTTGCAATATTTAAAAATGTTTTTCTTCAAAAAAGAAGTATTATTTCATGAAATACTTTACAGAAATCTAATTTAACGTTCAAAAAATTAATAATTCTAATAACAACATGTGCATAAAATAAGAGTAATTTATAAAACAAAAATAAATGTTAGTTAAACTAATTTTCGGGTGAAACGATCTGGAAATAAAAGATCGTATTCAGTATAATAGAGTGCAAAATCTTGGCATCACAATAGAAAATTTTTTAGCTTCCGGAGAATAGAAGAATGAAGTAAATTGGTGTCTATATATATATATATATATATATATATATATATATATATATATATGCTAAGATAGTGTGTAAAACTCGTAGTTGTTAAAATATTGTACGATGAGAAGTTTTACAACAAAATAAAAGGCTTACGAACAAAATGATGATGATGATCAGCGTGAAACTCTAAAGAATAAAAAAAAGTTTAGGAAAATACGAGTAAAAAGTAGATACTGATGGAATGGGTTTAAGTGTCCCGGTGGATAAAAAAACATAGGGTTAAGGAAGAAATGGTGGATTAGATGAAAAGAGCCGAGTCTGAAGTCTAATAAAAGAAGTGGATAAAGAAAAACAAGAGGCGAAGAAAATGCTAAAGACAGATAGGAGGAAGCTGAAGAAGAAGATGAAGAAAAATAGGAATTCAGTGATGGAGAATTTATGGGAATCAGGCAGAGCCTCAGCTCTTGAAGAATGCTGCACTCTGCACTAAACCTATAATCCCCTAGGTCTTCTTTTATTCGCATAATTCACGATTCCGCATACATACATTCACCAGTATTCACTTCCGGGCCCCCGATATGTCTTGTAAATTAGTGCTCTTACACAACTGTTTCATAACCTCATCTCGAGGAATAACTGACCAACGACTTAATCCGATCTTTTTTCAATTCTCACATCCAGCAAGCACTAATGCTCTTATAATGGTTCCTTGTCAATTTGTTGGTTTTCTTCATATATGTTAGTGAATGCTGAGTATAGTATTATATAGCTTAAGGCTAACCTGTATCAGCATCGACGTCATAATTTATATGACTTCTCCTGTACATTGAGCTCATCAGAAGCACTTGATAATTGCACCAGTACAGCTGATACACTTATAATATAATTGAGGTAGCGAACCAATAGAGCAATCCATCATGCTGACCGGTGTAATTTAGTCATTTTTAATTCATTTATTTATGATCGCTAGTTCGTCTTTTTGTACGACTCATGATGCGAAGCATCAGAAAATGCTTTACGATTGAAAAATTTGTTTTGCCTCGATTTCGCACACGCAGAAAAAATTTTTGTTAAGATAACGTAAGATATGTTGTGGTAACAAATGAATTTGTTAACATAGGGATAATAAATTATTAGTTATAATAACAGAATTTAGGTTTTAACAAGTTATTGATATATATAACAACAAAACAGTTTCGTTACTATAGCAAAATCTTTAAGTTGATTCGACAAAATACTTTAGTTGGTATAAAAAATTTTTTTGTTGAAACAGCAAAATTATTCTATTAAAATAACAAAAAGAATTTTTTGGAGTAACAAAGACAATTTGTTAAAGTAATAAAGTGAATACATGATTTAAAAATATGCTATAATCAGCTATAACTGATTTGGAAAATATTTTAGCAACAAATTAGTTTTGTTATTTCAACAAAATCGTTTTATGCGTGCAACTATTTAATTAATTACACGATTGATATAATCTACGTAGTCTAATTAATTTGCGCACCATTCGATAGATAATTTAATGGAGATTAATTCTGTCACTGGTTAAAATCAATTTAAAATAATAGAACCAGAAAAAAATATCAAAATACTTAAAAGAAAATTCGTGTCAATCAACTCAATGTTCCGTTTAAAACACAATAATTTGCGTAAAAATTCATGAATTCAATCAATTTTTATTTTATTAGCCTGGTATTCCCTTTGCGGAGATCTCCATTGGAGATGGTCATCTTATTTAATGTTGTTTATTTGTTATTAACGAAAAACTAAAATCACTGAAAAAAATCCACACTCAGTACGCATGATCAGTTTAAAACATTGCGCGACATTTGAAATGAAAAAATAAATAACAAAAATAATATTTAAATAAAAAAAAATAAATAAATAAAATTAAAATAAAAAAAAATACTCTGCAGAACATTAACTATTTTTTTTATTTATCGAACGAATGAGCATTATGAGTCGTGTACTTTTGGATTTGCCAAACTTTTTTTTCTTATTTGTTTTCTAGAGACTTTAGTGATTATGATTATTGATGATCATTAGATGAGCTTGCACACTCTTTATCATCGAGCTAAGTACCCGAGTAACGTGATCGTCTTTATGCAACAGACACCTGGATTATATTATGATAAAGAGAAAGAGTAATGGTAGTGGCAATGGCACTGGCAGTGCCAATTGGAATACAAGTGCTGCCGTACTGTGTGTCAGCGGTGTATGAGCTCCAACACCGTACACCGTTTTAATTGGCATGCTAACGGGACTGATCCAGACAAGTAATATCGTCTATTTAGATAGTTGATGGGTGTCTAAATCTTTTTCAAGGAGAAGAGAATCTTCATGGTCCAGACAACTTGTCTAGGTCATTTGTCTAAAATGCTGCTCCTTTTATTGCCAAGATTTATGATAACCCAAAAGTAGTCTTTATTACTAAGTGCTCTCTGTCTTTATTGCTAATTGTATGTAGTCTACTTCTGGTACGCTATGAGTTATTTATGGGCTATCTGTTAATGCTTCAACACATACTTCAAGGCTGAGTAACTTTAATTCTTATTTTTATCCAAAGAAAGCTCCAATTTTTAATACTACCTTTTTTATGCACAGTTACTTTTTAATTGGATGTCATAAATTCACTCAGTACTTTTTATTTTAATTATTACTTGCTAGATTAATTGCTTGATCTATTTTTTAGGCTTCAATTATCCGGCTGTCAAAAACGGTATTTAATAATCAATGTCATTGTTAATCAAGGTGATAATTGATTGTGAAAAAAGGAGAATAAAAAAATGAATTTTTATTGGTACCGTTTTTAATTTGTACTTAAAAATAATTATCAATTTTTAGTATTTAGAGTTTAAATTATCAATTTAATTTAATTATTTGTATTATTGTAAAAAATAACTGCAAATTAAATTTTTGTAATTAAGTGTCAAAAATTACGTTAAATTAACACTGCTGATTAATAATAATTATGAATCGCAATATTTAAAATACTTTTGATAATTAAAAAATAAACAAGTTTATAGAAATAACTATGTCAACAAAACGATTAAACTCTACGTAATTTGCATAATACTATTTTTAACGCTATAAATATGACAAGTACTTTCATATAAACCGGTTGAGATAACCATGTAAAAAAAGTCAGTCTGTCATAAATACCTTTCTTTTTTATCATTTCTAATGCGTTAATAGAATAATTTTATACTGCGAGATAACACTTGAAGCCTTTGAAATATATCTTATGGGTTTAGCATTAAAAGTCTGATTTTTGAGATTGCAATCGAATTTTTCGTAAATATATGTGAATAGCGTTGAAAAAAAAAAAAAAAAAACGATACTTAAAAAGAATGTCTTATTAGTTAACGCAAATAAATTAAAACGGTGAAAATTAATCATTATTCAGTCTAATTTTAAATGTTTACGTAGTTATTAACAAGGAAACAATTTTCCATATTCAAAATCCGACTAAGTATTGCTATTACAAAGACTAATTTTGTTTATTATCGCTTTTTTAAGCTAGACAATTATTTTTGACAGTAAGTTTTTATTTTCGCATCAATTTGTCACTAATTTACTGATAATAACACTGAAGACTGTTTAGTCAAACCGGGGCAGCATGTCTACAGTTTCAAACAAATAAGTTTCATTGAATAAGCTTAAAAATTAACCTGTGCACACACGAATCCGTTAATGAGATTCAAGATAGATGAGGAGACACGGAAAAAAGTATGTGAAAATTACGTGGTTCATATTATGTCATTTTAACGGCAAAAATGTTATCTTTCAGGTAATTTTTTTTTCTAGCCTTACAAAAAACAAAGTTTTGTATTCGGCCTGTCGGTAAGACTCTGTGAATCAATCATTCTTGGAACTTGAGTGTATTTTCTTATTACAAAAAAAATGTATTTAGTAATTTTTTAAAATTCTTTTTGTATTATTAAAAAATTAATTTGAATAAACAGAAAAACTCAATCAGAAAATTTTTTTGGTTTCAATAAATTTTACTTGATTCAACAATTTGGCATCTTGATTTGATCTTGATTTGATTCAAGACAATCAAACTTATAAAAATTATTTTATTTATTTTATTCTGTCATGTGAATGTGCTATACTTAAAATATTAATTCGTACAATTAATTTAAGAGAATAAAAAAATTTTGTGACACGGGTATAAATTTATTTATTGAAAAATGGTTTTCTATAGTTAAATTTGGTATTATCAGTAAGGTCTTAACGTAAATTAGTATTTTTTAATAATTTTACTTATTTTTGGTGATAGTTAATTTTTTGTATAAGTTTTAAATAGTTTTTTTGTAATAGCAATATCATTAAAATTTATTTCAAAATTATCTAAACTATATTGTTATTAAAAAAATGGAAAAATCATCAAGCTAAAGTTCTTTCATTCATACTCTGTAATTCAAAACTGTTTAAACTTTCATATTTTTATGACGTTTTAATTGTTACACTTATAACACCTTGACAGTAATTATTTTGAAAACAAAAGCAGTTAAAAACTTGAAGATTATCAAAGTTAATTTATTATAAAAAATTTCCACGGCTTTTCATGACTGAAAAGACATCGCTAATCTCCCGATGTACCGTTGACACATATTGCAACATTGTACTTAACAATAACTGGAAGGAGATTTAAAGTATGCAATTATCTAAAAGAATAACATTAAATAACAGGAATAAAGTATATTACTCACGTTGCACACGCGTGGTATTAGGCCTATATCTCCGGTGCTCTCTGTCCCAGGTTTCCGGATGACGTCCCCACTCATCATCGCTGGAAAGAGCAGTTCCGCCTGTCCCAGTGGTAGAGCCACCGCCTCCAGTGCCTCCAGTCGCTCCGATACCCTGAAGACCTTGTAAAGTTTGTAGAGCTTGCAAATTTGGATTCAACGGTACTCGAGGCTTTATTGCCGGGACCGGAACGTACTGAGCGCCTTCGCCTAGGTACACCACCTTTGGGAACATAACAGAAGAGAACAATAAATTACTTAACTGTAGCATTGTCTATTTGTATTATAAAAAAATAAAAAAATCATGTTGGATTGAAATTGTCCAATCTCGATTAAATTTACCGGACAAACTAAACAAATAACAAGGCATCAATGCATGTGTGTAAATAAAATACAAGTACAATATTAAAAGACCAGGAAGCGGAACTGTCACGTCAAGAGTGCGTCCTCGTGGCAACACGACATCTTGTAGTATCCATCCCGTTTGTTTCACGTCTATTCGTGACATGTCGACGAGCATCACGAAGACGCACGAGTCGACACCCGCGCATTCATGCGTCGATTAACGGTCACAAGGTTCACCATCTTAAATCATTAGTCGAGCTACTTTATTCGAGAATCCAGAGGGATGCTTACCTCCTGATTACACTTTTTTATTCAGATAGGATATTTTACGGGCAGGAGGATACGCAGCAGCTACACCACCACTTATTCTCCTCAGTATACACGGTGAAGGTGGATTAGATGTTGTCTCAACAGACAAGACAAGGTTCAGTGACAATGCCCTGCAGATAGACTAGATCCACTTGATACAGATACACTAGACTAAGACTAAGACCTAAGTAGTTTTGATTCTTAACATTTACCCCCTTTTAACTTATTTTATCTCCCATCTTCCCATCTTGCTTTAAAATGTCTCATTTAATTGTATTTAATGCCTCTAATGGTTTAATTTATACGAGCAATAACTTGTAAACACTTTTTTACTCAGTATCTGAGGAGTTTTTACCTTTTTTTTCACTACCGAAGCTCGGCTACTGGGAATGTAGCACTGGTTCTTCTCTCTAGTGACCAGTTTTACTCCCAGAGATTAATATCTGTTTTATTGGTTGATAATTAAACTGTTTAGATTTATTGCGATCGATCTGTGAATCTATCGGTTATCTAGACTTGGTAGGAAATATTTTAACATTTCAGCTGTCTTACTTCGAAATAGGCAATTTTTCTAATTTTTTAACTTTTTCTGGATATTCTAGCAGTTTCTTTTTTAAATCCACAATTTAGGCTGATTAAAAAGTTAACGATTTGAGAGAAAAATCGTGGAATAAGAATATAATTTTTAATAAAATAATAATTCTCGAATCAAACAAAATTTACTTAAGATAAGAATAATTATTCAGTTTAGAATATTTTTGATTGATTTCAAATAATTATAAAATGTTCTTGGTTCAAGTTTTTAGCGTAGCCATTAATTTTAACTAATTTTTGATGAAACAATCAAAATTAAATTTCAAATATTCGCGTTGTTTGAATTTTACTAAAGAAGAACTTTGAAGTTTTGAACTTTACTGAAGAAATTAAATTTATTAAAAATCAATCTTTTTTTTTATCTAATTTCCTTTAAATGCTCATCATCTGTACTACAAACGATATTAGATATTGTTTTATATTATTTACTTTTTCAGATTTTCATTTTTTTCAAGATTGTATTCTATATTAATTAAAGAGTACTAAAGAAATAATTAATTCAGACAAAGTAAGTATTATATATTCTCTCTCATATTATTCGTTGTATTTTAAATGATTCTAGATAATTTATGTAATTAAATTCAATTTTATAATTAAACAAGAATCTGTAAAAACATTGAATAAGTAAATTATAGTCACAAAAACTTCACGTGGTTTTTTCTAATATTTTTAAATTATGACATAGACTATTTAGTGAGATAATTGAAAAATTTAACATCTCTATTTAATTTTTTACGTAATCCCGTTCAATTATATTTGAACTCAGGGAATTTTAAAATAGCCTTAAATCGTCACGTACATACTAAATCTTTTATCAATTAAAAGTACAAACTTTTTTCTTACAAGATAAGTCCGAAAGAAATTTAAGAATTGTCAATTATTATGAAACTGAGCACCCGATTTATTTCCCCGAATAAAAATAACAAATTTAAATTACTAACAGACTAAATTAAAATTAAAATTTATAATAACTCAGGATTTTTCAATTTAAAAATTAATTAACAATCAAAAAAATTTGACTAAAACGATCATCTTAATTTAATCAATTTTTTTTAAACCTAACATTAAGCTTTTTCATAAATAAACGGTAAATTAAATTTACAAACTATTTCTTCCCCCTCGAAATTACACAAAATTTATTCCAAAAAAAGTCATATCCTGTTCCATCTCTCTCCGCTTAAAAGAAACCCATCACATAAATAGTTGTAGACCAGCAATTACCAATAATAAATAAATTACCCGAACAATTTAATGATACATTTGATCTATTAAATATGAATAACAAACAGCCAAGTGTTGAATTATTTTTATAGACCGTTGAATAATAAATTTTTCTTAACATTACATTTGTATTACCCAATACAAGTTAAAAGTTTGTATCTAGCCGATTAATCTATCAAACCAGTGTCCTAAATCAAAGCGGCAATTTAAATATTTATTTATTATTATCATTATCATTATTATTATTATTATTTTAGCAGCCGGTGTTTTTAAATTTACCCGAGAAAATTGATGCTCAGCGGTGATTTACGGCTTACGGTAAACCGCGAAAGAAGCTCTCTCTACCTCAGTACACTACTTATATACACTTTATACTCGGTAGTGATAAAACGCGATCGCTCATACACTGGCAGGCTTAGCTTGGCTGTGTAATAGAGTAAAGAGAGTGTAATGCATAATGTTGATAAAATAGTGTGGAGTATCTAGACAGAGTACAGGGGCGTTAACCGACGAAACGTGCAGTAGCCTTATGGAAGGATTATGATATGCCCCTATACTAGTGGACCGGTACCATTATATACCTGGCGCATCATCCCCCTATTATCCAAGTGAAATTGGTTTAACTCTTTTCCTACTCTTTACTCTTAACTCTTCACTCCTGACTCCTCTTCTGGTTCTCTTCTCTCCGTGAAGTGCACTTCTTCTTATTCACGCTCTTCTCCGCGTCGTGCTCATCTCCTTCTCATTCTTGGGCTTACTGCTACAATCTTTGGATACTCCAAAGTCTTTCTATTCGACGGAATCTGAGCGATTCTTGGAACTATGGAGAACGATAGTAAATACTATTCCCAGGCTGCAGAACTATTTCAATCGTATCGAAATTATTACATTATAAATTATTGATCTTTATTTGTAACTAGCAAATATTAACTTTTTTTTTTTCTTCCCAAGTTATCACTTGTTTACCCATTTTAACTCACTGGGAAATTTTTCCAAGTTTAATTTTTGCTCAATTATTATTTATTAAATTTGTATGCCGAGGCTTAAGCCGGATGGTAATAATACAAAACACACCATTACATTTTTACGAAATAAGTATATGGTAAAATTATAAACATAACAAACAAATTTAAGAAAAATTTTAATGCTTTTCTTTTTAAAGCTATCAAGGGAATAAGATTTGATTACATCAATTGGTAATCTCTTCCATAAATATTGCAAAACAATTATTTTTTTTGTACGTGATTGCTCGAAAAATTAGCGTAAAAATTAACTTAAGATAATTCCGGAATTTTTCAATATTTTTTTTATAAGCTTAAATTAATATTTTCCAATAAATTTCGAAGTTTCAGAATTTTTAGCCGTTTAGCCACCACGAAATTATTAATAGTTAATTTTAATTTGTTTTAATAGTAGTTAAAATAGAATATAGACATGATAAAATGTTTATTTCTCAGTACATCTTTATTTCAGCTACATTTCCTAAATTTAACCATCCTCAGGCGTCTAAAATATATAACAACGTATTATTAATGGATTTTAACAAACCCCGTTTACTTGCAATCATTTGTAAAATGCATGATAATTTAATGTTTATTGTGAAGTACATATTATGGTAAATATAGTATTACACAGGAGCGTTAGATAATTTTGTACTTGCTAACATGTGTGTTGTTATAGTTAAGGTGCCTGGGGGAGGTCAAATTTTGACCGAAACGTAGCTGAAATAAAGATGTACTGAGAAATAAACATTTTATTATTATGTTCTGATTCCTGTTAAAACAATTTATAATTTATTAAATCATGGGTGTTGAATTTACTATGGATGGATTAGAAAGTTGACAAATTTTCGGAATATTTTTCATTTGACACATTTTGTTATATTAGAAAAATTGCTCAGCAGAATTAGAAAAAAAAAGAAGAGTAGAGAAGAATATTTTCTAAATAAAAAAAAAAAAATAGATTGAGCTTGATTTTTTTTTTCGAGATATGGTAATTTAAAATATCACTTTTTATGATTAATAGTAATCTGGTAATTTTGTGTACATAAAAAAATTATTTGATTCAAGATAATAATACTAAGACCAATAAAATCATTGTGAAGAATCAAATTTTCGTAAATCAAGTAGAAAAATTTTAAATCAAGTAGAATTTATTCAAATAAAAATAATTTTTAAGCTTAATTTAAAAATAAAATAAATTATAATTATTGTCTTTTGAAATCTCAAGACGGACGTTTGCGATCTTATAAACACACAAGTATTCCACTATATGAAGCGCTAAAAAACTGGTCAGCGTGAATACTCTTTGGCATTTAGTTTAGTAGTTTTATTCTGGAGACGATAATTGTATGTATGAGGACATGTTACGAGGTGAGATAGTTATTGAATTGATTACTTATATCTTATTATACATATGTGATCTAACTTCCATTCATGATGAGTTATTAATTTAACACCATTATTTCCATGATTATATGTTATTGTTATTACTCATTTTTAAATCGATATGATTATGATAAAAAAATTGTTAAATTTATAAGTTAGTGCTTGAAGTAATAGGCTTTATTTGCATAATTGATACATTTACTCGTTATATGCAACATAAAAAATTAACATTTTTTTATATTTATGTACTTTTTAGGTGAAAAAGCTTATTAAGGACTTCATTAGAATTAAACAAGAATCGGAAGTATTCAATTCAATTGAACTTAATTTATAGTTGAATTCATGTTGAAGTTAAAAGTAATACACTAACTAAATAAATTAACTTAATTTAAGAAAAAAATTCTTG